GGATGATTCCTTCCCGCCGGAAGATTTCGGCATCGTCTCTGGAATGCTCAACGTCAAGTGGGACAGGATCGCGCCGTATCCCGGGAATCGCCCCCCGCGCTCCCCTTCACCCCTGTGGCTTTCCTGCCTTCGCCGTTTGCGCTGGAATTCCAGGGTGCCAGACCCAGGGAAGTGAAACAACAGCTCCCTGAGGAGCTGTAAACGCCCCATCCTCAAGGGCAGGTTGGACACAGGGGCTTGGAGCAGCCTGCTCCAGTGGAAGGTGTCCCTGCCCGTGGAGCTGGAGGGGCTTTAAGCTCCTTCCATCACATCCCATGGTTCCCTGAATGGCTTCTTCGGGGCTCCTCTTTCCCCATCCCCTCCCTTTCCCTTTGATACATCCACCTCTTCTCCTTAACCCCCATCGCTCAGAGCCAGCAACGTGTCCCACACCGTGGTCCTGCGGCCTCTCAAAGCTGGATACTTCAACTTCACCTCTGCCACCATCACCTACGTGGCCCAGGAGGGGGGGCAGGTGGTGGTGAGTTCCCTGCCTGCAGCACATAGCCCAGGCTCAGCACGATCCATGGCCCTGCTCCAGAAGGGAAGGTGACAAATCCTCTCTCTTTTCCTCTCCTTCCCTTTTCCAGGTTGGTTTCACCAGTGCTCCGGGGCAGGGGGGGATCTTGGCCCAACGGGAGTTCGACAGGAGATTCTCCCCACACTTCGTAAGTACCTCGGGGCTGGTGATGGATGTTCTCCTGCAGCCACCTGGAAAACCACGTGGATTGCACCAAAAGGAGCACTTTGCATCCTGGTTTTCTCTGGGAAGGAGCTGACGTGGTGGGATTTGAGGCAGAAGCTTTAGAGTAGAGAAGAGCTGGTGGCTCTCGGCCTCATCTGCACGGGTTTGGTTTGGCTCTTCTAACATCTTCTCCTTCCAGCTGGACTGGGCAGCTTTTGGGGTGATGACCCTGCCCTCCATTGGCATCCCACTGCTGCTGTGGTACTCGAGCAAGAGGAAGTACGACACCCCCAAGAGCAAGAAGAACTGAGCCAGGCCAGATGCCACCAGCACCCCAGAGCCCAGCAGCCTCGTTGGGATCAGGTCTGGAGCAGCACCACCTTCCACAGGGTGAGGTGGTGACTTCTACAACCCAAACCTGAACACCCCAGCCCCGAATCGGCACGTTTCGTGTTGAAGCTCAAGGTCCCTCCTTCTCCAATGGAACCTTGGTGGGAAGCAGACCTTGAGCTGCTGCTGCTCCTCGAGGTGGGACACAAGAGGTCTCCTTGAGGTCCTCCTGGAGGCCCCCTCGTGCTTCCATGAGCAGCGGATTGGGGGGTTCTGTTCTTTCTGGTGGGCTTTGGAACTGAGGATTTTGTAATAAAATGAACGTGAATGGAACCTCTTTGCTTTTACCCGGATATCCCAGGTGTGGATGGGGGTCAGGAGTATCCATCCTGGAATCCTGGAATGCTTTGGGCTGAAGGGAGCTTAAAGCTCCTCCAGTCCCAACCCCTGCCCCGGGCAGGGACACCTT